TATATATATATATATATATATATATTATATATATTAATTGGAAATATGAACAAACAACACTCTTTTTTGCACTATTTATTAAATAATAATTTTCATAAACGTTTTGAGATTAGGTTTGTCTCATCATCAGTGTGTTATAATTTAAATTGAAAATATGGAAATATAATTTAGCATTTGTGTTATCCATTACAAGTCGCTCGATACACAATGAGTGTATACATACACTCTTGCTCTGAGTGTATCGAGCGACTTGTAATGGATAACACATAATGCTAATTTAGGTTTCCATATTTAAATTTTAAATCATAACACACTGATGATGAGACAAACCTAGTCTCGAAATGTTTGTGAAAATTATTATTAATAAATTAGTGCAAAAAAGAGTGTTGTTTGTTTATATTTCCAAATTAATATCTATATCCACTCAGAATACATTTGTTATATATATATATACATATATATATATATATATATATATAGTTTTAGGTGAAAATCTACCGAGCCGTTTTCTTGTAATTAACTGAACTAAAAATAATTATGCCGATTTTTATGGAACTTTTTTTGGCGATATATATCATGGTCTTATATAACTTACTGAATTATTACAGCCTTACGACAAGTAGTTGAATTTTAAAAATTCATCAGAGTTTGAGAATGATTAGTTTTTTTGACGTTTGTTAAAAATAAAATTAGATGATTTAGTTGGTATACGATAGTGTACTTGGTCTTGAACATAGTAAACCATTAAAGTCCTACGGAAACTGGTTCAATTATAATTATTGCTTAATTAAAATTATTGATTTTGGAAAATTTGCTTTTAGAAACTACTCCGACCGGGTTAACGTGTTCGTTCGTTTTCAATGATGTGTAATTAATTCCACTCGGAATACTATTAATCACTCATAAATTAATTTATTTTTTATTGATTAAGTCGATTATTTACACATTTCGGGAAGTTCATGTAACTTGCCTCAAGGCAAAATACCAATACCAACTAGTTATATGTTATTTCAGACGACGAAACCTGTCGTCGTACAAAATTTCATCAATATCGTCGAAAAAAATTTTCTTTTCAAACACATTTTCTAACATAACTAACCAATATCTATCGAACAGTTTTTACATTTTGAAAACCGATTCAAGATTGTGGACTAAAACGTGGATGAAAAATTTTATAGTTTTCTGCCAATTACATAGAAACGGCTCAGCCGATCGTTGCGTTTGAATTTTTTTTAAATCGGTTCAGTCTTATTTGAGAAAATGTCACCAAAATCAATATACACCAAAATTTCCAAATTTGGTCTCAGTTGATTCGGAATGACTTGAAAAGTCGAGAATACGTAAAATTAGCAAATAAGTTTTTTTTTTGCTAAAACTAACTTCTCCTTTTAGAAATTAAGAATTGATATATTATTGGCTATCGAACATTTAAAAGCACACTAAGAAAGAAATTTTGTATAGACCCAAGAAAATATAACAAGCTGCTTCAATATAAAACTAATAAACCAAGTATATAAATGATAAAAAATAAATATAAAAAAATAAAATTTCAATCACTCAATAATTGCAATTAAATTATTTATTTAATATAGTCAGAAATATTGGATGCTTCTGGCCAGAATTATAAAAAACGTGATGAATTTGATAGAAAAATTTAGACTAAAATATCATATGAACAATATTAGTGGTTTACAAATCATTAAATGCTTAATATGTATATACTCATACTTATACTTATATAATTATGTTTATTATAATTTTAATTTTTTAACATATTTCTTTTTTCACGTAACAGGTTTTGTTGCTTGTGAAAGTGCTGATATAAGTATAATTGACAGTATTTTGGGTAGAGTAGGTGCCGAAGACAGTGTTACAAAAGGCCTTAGCACCTTTATGATTGAAATGATTGAGACTTCTGGCATCCTTAAGGTAAAGCCCAGGATTTATTTTTCTTTATGATTTTTTAATGAAATATTTAATCTAGATATTTGCGATTGTTAATTTTTTCAGGTTGCTACAAATAAATCTTTGGTGATCATAGATGAATTAGGCAGGGGAACATCAACTTATGAAGGTTGTGGAATTGCTTGGGCCATTGCTGAGTACGTATCATCTTTTATATAAATTAATTAAATACATCATATAACATTTTAATGCAATTTATATATTTTAATTGTTGCATCTATTCATACACAAGTTGTAATAATACTTCAGAATAATAGTCCTTACAATTTCTTTTTAGTATATATTTGCCTAGCATATTAATTGGTCAAAATATATACTGATTCTAAAATTGGTCTAAATATATTGCAGATACTTAGCTACTGAGGTAAAATCATTTACCCTATTTGCTACTCATTTCCACGAAATAACGAGACTGGCTGAAGATTGTTCTAATGTTCGCAATGCTCATGTATCCGCCTTATGTGACGGCGATGTTTTCACTTTATTGTATCGTATTAGACCTGGTGTTTGTAATAAAAGCTTTGGAATACAAGTTGCTAGAATGGCAAACTTTCCTGAAGAAGTTGTAAAGGTAAAATATGAAGTCACTGTAAAATTGTTAATGTCTCCTTGTCTTAATATGCTTAATGTTTATTGGTTGTTATTATATAAAACTTTAAAACATTGTAATCTCACTAATCCAGCATCTTCCGCCAACATGTTTCTTGTTATAAAAAAAAAGTCAACAAATATGACTTACATGTCAGCGATAGATGGCTGGATCAATTAAAAAAGTTATTTGGTATACGTCTATTACCCATGGTGCAAAATTATCAAGCCATGATTTGCAGTAAAGCCTTTTATTTAGCTACTTTTAAAACAATGTAGAAGAACTGCCTCTTCTAAATCTATAACGCAGATGAGAGTGGTTTGCTCTGGAGACTGTCACCCAATGAAATTCCTTATTTTATTACGTAATATAATGTATGTATTACATACCTATGATTTTTTATACCCTCCGATTATTAATAGTGCCGGATTAGTGAGATTACAGTGTACACTGTTCTAAACTTGAGTTATACCAATGCTCAGCTGCTTGTAAATATTATTTACAGTATGCTGAACATAAGCATTCAGAATTAGAAGATAACACAGTAGATGCTGATTTTAAAACTATTGAGGAAGCTGATAAAATTATTGAAAGTTTTCTAAAGAAATGCAAGGAAGATATTTCGGAATTGAATGATCAACAATTGAAGCAAAAATTGGATTTATGCTTTCAGGAACTAAATGAAACCAATAATAATTACTTGAAAGCACTTTTGACCAGATTTAAGTTATAGATAATGTCAAATTTTATTGATATTGTTTCTACACGTAATATAATGAACATATGAACTGTATTACTATTTTTTATATTAAAATTAAAATAACATTTATTTTAAAATTAGTATAAAATCCAGTTTTACATATGAACGACATTTAAAAAAACTTAACATATTAAATAATTTCATACAAATTTTAAAAGCAAAGATTTTTAAATCGGTTGCAGATTCCATTTTATTTTTTATGATGAAGCTCATTGCTTCATAACTAGAAGATATTGGGTTGAAGTTTGAATACCGGTTAATCTAATGTCATGCAGTAGTGATATCCATTTTTATTTCAAAATATAAACTTATGTTTCTAATTGGAATTAAATCTTTTGTGCAATAAATTGGTAAAGGCAATACTTCGCGCAATACTTCCTTGCCTTTGTTCGAAACTTTCACATATATAATATAACAACGATATAGTACGTTGTATGAAGCAAAGTGGAACGTATATATTTATATATATATTATATTGCAGAGCTTCGAACAATGATTCCTAACGTAATAAAATACAAGAGTTTTTTCTAACCAATTTTTTGTTTATTTATTTACTGTCAACGTTCTGGAAATAGGTACGTTCCATTTTCACGACATCTGTCAAGAAATGTGATCTTGTTTAGATTTAAACAAACGATATACTTACTTAGAAAAATAGAAATTGATGGTTTTATAAAATTGTGAAAGAGATGACATTAATAAACAGATATGACAATATAATCAAAGTAAAAATGATAAAGTAAATGAGCGCATTTAATAACGAAATATTAGAATTATTAGAAAAACAAAAAGTTTTTTAGAAAGGGTTATCAAGAAAAAAAAGAATTAATTACGTGTCCGACTGTACACTACACTTTGTAACTAAAATCAAAAAAATGTTAATTTTTTTTATTAATTTCTTTTAAGAAAGACTATTTTCGTAAATAATGTTTAGTTATAATGTTTTTTGAGTTACAACGTCTTTCATATGGTGTTAACGTAAGATCGTATCACAACTGTTACGATTCCTATTTAAATCTCTTACATTCTTCGACAAATAATTAAAAAATCATTCTTTTTTTAGTTTTATACGTCAGTCTATTTTTGAGTTTACTTTTCTGTTTTAGTACTTTAGTAATATATTGACGTCCATTTAAAGATCAATATATTAAGGGCTTACACAACTGTAGATTTTCAAAAAAAAAAAAATTTTTAAGCTTAAAATTTACTTTGAACCTTTTAGAATATGAGGAAAAATATTCCATACCTAAAACTTTATTTTTTTACTTGTAATTATGAGCTTTTTCCCATGCGCGTCAGGCTGCTCCGAACCGACACCGCTCAAATTCATTAACAAAAAATATTATAAAGAAAAATGAAAACGTGTATCTTCTTAAATATACTAATATATGTTATTATTAAATATTTATATTGCATAAATTAACTGTAAAAGCATTTTTAACCAATAGATGATCAGTGCAGAGTCAACACATATAAGGGTTGACTATATTGCGGCTGATATTGCTGAGGATAATATCAACGATGGCCTAAGCAATATTTTTTAAATGGAAATAGTTTTGGAGATTAATATTGGCATCTAAACATGTAATTTTTGTCTTAAAGTCGATTATAAACGTCTTAAGCATGCCGAACGGTCTTTGACGGATGCGCCAAAAGTAGGGCGCTCTGATATAAAATCTTTAAAGGAATTTAATAAGAAAAACTAGCTGTAAGTGGAATTCTTACAAATCTTTTCTTCTGTCTTAAGGCTATTAAGGCATCGTGCCTTAAGGCAAATTGCTGGAACTTCCCGTACCAAATATTATTTTTTTAAAAACGATTAACATTTTTGAAAAAAATTCACTTTGAAAAAATAAGATTCTTGAGAAACTATAAATTGGACAAAAAATTACTTTTTTTGAAAAAAATTTTTTAAAAAAAAATAATTTTTTTTTTTTTGAAAAAAACATTTTTTTCTTTATTTTGACATATGTGGAAGATCTGAACTTTCTTTTCAAAGCAATCGTACTGCTTTAACTGCATAGGGACAAAATATAAAGCGCGTAAGCCCCGCGTCAATGTCTAACGCATAAGCATTGGTACGAAACCATAGGAATGTTAACAAAATGTATACTTATTGTTAAAATCTCTATAAAATATCTGATAATTTGATGTGCATATGTCTAATGATCATTTTTTTGACCGCCAAATGGCTCATTTTTTTACTTTTTCCTCCATATCTCCGAAACCGCTAGACCTACCTTCATGAAAATTTTATCGATTCTTCATTTTGTCAATACAACTAAAATGTTTTTGAATTATTCAAATCGGACGCTCCGTTCTCTTAAAAACTAAGTTACCGTTTTCGGCACTTTTTGCCCTGTATCTTCGGAACGGCTAGACCTGCCTTTGCCAAAAACTAATCAGCACGTCTCGTTATCAATACGAATCGAATGTTTTTTGAATTATTCAAATCGGTTGATCCGTGTTCCCGAAATCGTCGACGAAAATTTGTATCCGCACATACATACACACACATACATACATACACACACACACACATACATCCATTTTTTCTAAGGCATGCCAAAATGTTCAGAAACCTCTGAAACGTAAAGATATATAAAAATTTTCATTTTGATTTTTTGCGATTACTATAACTTGCCCTACGGGAAGTTAAAAAAAATAAATAAAAAGGCATCTGTATGTTGCTGGGATATCAGATTAATAGTAAAAAATATTAAACTGATATTTTTTCTATTTTTTCTTATTCTCGAAACACGATTTTACAACGCGTTTTTCTCGAAACACGATTTTACAACGCGGCACGAAAAATAATTTTTTTTACAATATATTTAAAATCACATTTTTAAGTGCCCGTCATGGGAGATCTTTTATATGTTAATTTGTTCATCAATTATTAACAAATTTATATCCGTTTTTTTTTCGTTGAAATTCAACGATTTTGAATAAAGTGCTCGCCAAAGGAACAAAAATCGATATTTTTCAAATCCGCTACGATGGGCACTTAAAAATGTTATTTTAAATATACTATTGAAAATTCAAATGAAAAATGTTTAAATTGTTGTAGTTATTTTGCGTGCTGCGGAGCGCCTTCAATTTGACGCGGCTCGCCGAAATGGCTGTGGTACCGTCGTTTTTAATTTTTTTTTTACAATTATATTTTATTTTGTTACTTCAAAGTACAGTAAATAACTATCTTTAATATCATGATTTTATTACATTTTCTTCCGCCCGAAAAAATGACCAAAACATACGTTTTTTAGGCTGCTACAGTGGTGTAACGCCTTAAGTTTTTACACCCTGATGATTAAAAACAACACACATACATACATCTTGTAACCCAATGTTTCTCCTTAAAATTCATCTGTATAATAATCAGTTTGTCACCAAATCGTAACCCATAACATTGAGGGAATAATACTTGTTTCATAATAGCACAAAAAAAAATAATGACTTAAACTTAACTAATGACTTAAATTAAACTAGTGGTGTATGTCATCGTGCCTTAAGGCAAATTGCTGGAACTTGCCGTACCGTAACGAAATGTTCGAGGAATATTAAATGGTTTCAAACAGATTATTATAAATTCTGTAATATCGTCCAATATTTATAAGAATTATATGAACTGAATTATAAAGTTATAATTATTCACTTGTGCTTTAGAACTTTAACCATAATTAAAATTTAAATCTGAATTTTTTCGATGATTAAAAAAAAGAAAAATTGAAAAAAAAAAAAATATGAATTTTTTTTTCCAAAAGCAATTATTTTGTCAACACAAGCAGAAAGTTTTTTGATTCATTCAAATCAGATGCTTATTTCTCTCAAAAACTGCCATTTTTTGTACATTTAGCTCTGTATCTTCTAAATGGCTGGACCTGCCTTTGCCAAAAACTAATCACCACTTCTCCCAATCATTACAAATTGAATGTTTTTTAGATCATTCAAATCGGATGTTCTCTCAAAAACTCGATTTCTATTTTCTGCACTCTATGCTCCTTATCTCCGTAACGGCTGAACCTGGATTTGCCAAAAACTAATAAGCACATCTTCCTATCAATAGGAAGCGAATGTTTTTTGAACCATTCAAATCGGTTGATCCGTGCGCCCTAAAACTTGAACGAAAAATGCGGACACACACACATCGATTTTTTCTGAGGTATGTCAAAATATTCAGAAACCTTCAAAACGTGTTCTTTGTTCGAATATTTTGCTCTACAAAATATATCTACAAAATAATCTAAGACTCTACCATCTAATATATATACGAGGTGTGTTCAAAAAGTACCCGGAATTACTAATATTTAAATTTCGCAGGTCTGGAGTGTCTGATTGTCAAATTTTTTTTTTATTGTGTTGGTATACATGCCCCTAAAGTATGATGAAATTTTCAGCTATATTCACTGTTTACTTTGTCTGTGGTAGTCGCTAAGGTTCGACGTGTTTTTCTGAGCTCGGCGATTTTTACAATGGAAGAATTGAAAAGTCAAAGAATTTGTATTAAATTTTGCGTAAAAATGAAATAAAGTGTTGCAAAGTGCAAAAATTCACCAGATATGGCTCCGTGTGATTTTTTCCTATTCCCAAAGTTGAAGAGACCCATGAAAGGACGGCGGTTTTCCTCGATGAAGAAAATCGCCGAGAGTGCTAAGGACATATCAAAAAGTGAATATCAAGGGTGCTTCGAAAATTGGAAAAACGCTGGCATAAGTGTATTATATCTGGGGGGGACTACTTTGAAGGGGACCACATTAATGTAGACGAATAAATAAATATTTTTTGAAAAAACGAAATTACGAAAACTTTTTGAACAGACCTCGTATATATATATATACGAGGTCTGTTCAAAAAGTACCCGGAATTTTCGTTTTTTCAAAAAAATATTTATTTATTCGTCTACATTAATGTGGTCCCCTTCAAAGTAGTCCCCCCCAGATATAATACACTTATGCCAGCGTTTTTTCCAATTTCGAAGCACCCTTGATATTCACTTTTTGATATGTCCTTGAGCA